CCCCCCCCCCCCCCCCAAAAAAAAAAAAAAAAAAGAGAAGGTAATATAGTTACAATCAAGAGTTGCCTCTAACAAGTATTAACTCTTTTGATCTCTTATTTGTTAAAATCTTAAAGAGAACAAAGTTTACAAATTGAGCAAGACCAAGATAGTTGTGATTAGGGAGATTTAGAAATTTTCTTTTGGGTGGGTATTTTAACAAAATTTAATTTTTTTTCTTTCCATTTATAAAATAAAAAAATATTTATATCTATTACATCATATTGATACATAAAAATTTATTGAATACAAGAGGTGCAAAAGTCAAAGATATATAAACAAAAAACAAAAAATGATAACTTCATTGTTGATGCTTATATCTTTCTATATATGTCCTCAAGTTATCATTCATCCATTGATATTAATCTAATTACACAATCTCAATTTTTGCTTTTAATTTGTCGGACAATGTCGTAAAAAAATAAAAGGTTAATTGTAAATTAATTTAAAATAATTTTACTTTTAACGTAAGAATAAGAACGTATCTCCAAAAAAAACTCATAAATATGTAATTAAAGTCAATTGAAAAAACTCCCAAAACTATAAATCTGACTAAATATGGAATTGTAGATCAATCAGCACTCACATTTTCTTTACATATTATTGAAAATAGAAGTAATAAGGTGGCCACAACAAAATGTAGTCGAATAAAATTCAAATATATATATATATATATATATATATATAAATAAAATTCAAGCAATGAGGTTGGGCCAAATTGAACAAGAAAACCATAAGTTATAGGTTATTTAAATTCTTGGTGGCCATGAATTATAGGGTTTTTTTTCTTTTTTCTTTTTGACATACTAGTTACTAAGGGTACGAATTGGGCAGATCAATGCAAACTTAATCCCAAAAATTAATAAGGTATATTTTGGCACAAATTTCAAGTACTATAATTGAGTTTACATAATTAAAAAAAATCCCAAAAACAAAGTAATTTTTCTAATCCATCCAAATTTGTTCTGAATTTATAAATTTAGGTTCACCCCAATTATTATCTAGGGTTAATCCATCCTGGCTTTACTAATTTGGATTCAACTTTAACAATTGAACTCGGATTTTGGCCTAGTTATGTACCACCCGTTCCTTAACAGCTTCAATCTTACTTGTGCCGATCTCTTTGCCTGTTTTTTGCTCTCCTCTCCCCAGTTTCTTTTGATATCCCCCGGTTCGAAAGCAATCAATTGAGCAACTAGTGGTTCTGCTGTGCCTTTCCTTAAAGCATCACCAGTGATTTTCTTTTCTTGAATATTCAGGAGCTAACACCATTCCAATGGCCCCCTTTCGCCATGAAAATTAAAGCTTTATAAATACAAATACATGCAATATATTGAAACTCATTGCCCATGGATTAAAAAAAAACCCGTTTCAACATAAAAAAAAAAAGGATAAAAACTAAAGCAAACATATAATATCGTATTCAAAATTGTAACTAAGTGTTGCCCATTGGTTCAATGCCCGATTCATAATTAGAAAGTTTTGTTTGGTCCTTTGCTAATTTGGGCTAAAACTTTGAAAATATAAAAAGNCGAAAGCAATCAATTGAGCAACTAGTGGTTCTGCTGTGCCTTTCCTTAAAGCATCACTAGTGATTTTCTTTTCTTGAATATTCAGGAGCTAACACCATTCCAATGCCCCCCTTTCGCCATGAAAATTAAAGCTTTATAAATACAAATACAAGCAATATATTGAAACTCATTGCCCATGGATTAAAAAAAACCCGTTTCAACATAAAAAAAAAAAAAGGATAAAAACTAAAGCAAACATATAATATCATATTCAAAATTGTAACTAAGTGTTGCCCATTGGTTCAATGCCCGATTCATAATTAGAAAGTTTTTTTCGGTCCTTTGCTAATTTGGGCTAAAACTTTGAAAATATAAAAAAGGCCAAAATAGGAATCAAACTTGATATTATTAGAAATGTCAAAAAAAAAATATCATATTTATAAAATGGTGGTTTAATAACATGGGGTGTCAGTGACGATTTTGATAATCGAAGCAGTGTCTTTAAAGATATAATAAATTAGAATTTTTTTTTNCATTGGTTCAATGCCCG